AATTTCAAGTAAGTAGAGATACTCTCACAACAACATTACTTAAAGAATATAAAATGGAAATGTATGGTAATCGTGTGATTTTTTAACCAGAAGAGTAAAACAATGTAGGACTCGTTGTCCAGATTGGTTATTGTAACACGTGTTGTCTTAACTTGTCAGGTTGTGGATGGGACGCCTTGTTCCCCTGACACCTCAGCCGTGTGTGTTCAGGGGAAGTGTGTGAAGGCAGGCTGCGACGGCAAGCTGGAATCCAACAAGAAGTTTGACAAGTGTGGTGTGTGTGGTGGCGACAACAAAGGCTGCAAAAAGGTCTCAGGAATGTTCACCAAGCCGGTGTAAGTAGCCCGCCTCAACAGATAGTAGTCAGTGTTGACACAGCGACTCGTTTAAACGTTCAAATTCTTGAGCTTTTTCTAAAATTTTTATATTGGTCTGATATAATATTATTCTCAATATGATTTAATATTTATATCTATAATAATAATATGATGAAGCTTAATCATGAAATAATGAACAGAAAGAAAATATTTAAAGCATTACCCTCGTGTGTAAATAATGGTTCACTTGGTTTATGGAGTTTCTGTACTAGATTAGCTTTTTAATGATATATTTCTTGTACACAATGCTCATCAGGTCAAAGACCATAAATTGCTTTAGGTCAGGTTCTAACTAAGCCCAGAACGCACCAAACCCAATTTTGCATCCAATCTGATATAAAATCGTGCCTTAGAGGTCGTGGAGTTTAGCGCTCATTGAAAGTCAATGGAGAGGATCACTCCAGACACGACTTCCTGCAGGGGGCAGCGTAGCTCCGACTGAGATAGAGCCCAGGTCTGTTTTAGTCAGACTACGCAGCAATTCAGCAGCAATACCATTGGTCTGACAGGAAGAGAGATGCGGTTGCAAAGTAAAACTCATCTGCTTTGGGGGAAAATACAAAATAAAATCTATTAATCTGACGGGGAAAGAGTCAGCTTGGAATCACACGTCTCGTTTATAGTGAGCAGGACAGACTGGAGCAAAAACAATGAATGAAACATTAAAATAGAAACTTTCCCCATGATGGGAGTTCAGGAGGACAGGAAACGGATAAAGTAGTGATCCTCTTTGAGCCTCACAGAAACCAGAATAAGGAGGAGCAGACAGAGCAGGT